GGATATTCTGCGCTGAGATTCGCATCTCCCGCTCCTCCATCGAGCTGAATCGGATCGCTTTTCGGTACGATAATCGGCGACTTTAGATCGTTTTAGGTGATATGGAAAAAGGAAATAGCGACTTTGAGAATTCGAGAGTAATTTCGACTGTCATCTTTCAATGTTCTATCGCTCTCCTTGGAAATGTGTCGAATCTTGGCCCTCAACGTCTGAAAGCTGCAGATCGAAAGCTCGTGGAATCAACGGACGAGCTGAACGACCGAAGAGAAGGAAAAATGTCGAGTGAGAAACAGAATAAGCGCAGATATAAATTTTGTTATGAGGCGCGGCTGGATTTTCGCTCAGATCACTTGCTCTACCGAATCGACTCGGCGGCGCGCTGTTTGGGTGGCCACCGCCGCGGTCGTCGAACATACATTTAAGGGCGTAGTCTCTCTCTCGGTCTCTCGCTAATTTAGGGAGGATCGACGCGTGTGGGGTAAACTGCGTCGAACCTCAAATTGAGTCATACGAATTGTGCGCATGCGGGGGCATGGATCGCATTTGTGTCGTTTAGGTGTACTATTGAAGATTGTGTTCTACTCCGAATACGAGCTTTCAGTTTTTTGCTCGTCATGCATTCCTCGCTTCGTTCATCCTGCGCGAATATCGGGCGCAGGACCACCGTAGCCGAGCATGCCCGTTCGAGGCTTCATCGACTTCTGCATTATTCAATGGAGCATGACATTTTGAATGCAGGGTGGGGACATTTCTGAGACGGGCCCGGGAACAGTAGACGAGAATGGGATTGTCAAACACCTGCAGTCGATTGACCACACTAAAGCCATTCAGGCATGCCAAAATGTTCGGTATTCAAGCGAGAGAATATTTTGGTCCAGAACAACAAGCGGGGAAAATTTCGGGTGGAACGGATGAATACCCTCGGCGTCGACTTTGAAGAAAGCTTTCTAAAACTTGAAAGAAGTGTGAGGCGTTCAAGAACTCGAGACTCGAGCGTCGGGCCAGCTTGATAGTTCACGGAATGGACTGGACTTGCGGTTTGTGGTTGCCGAGTTTCCAACGCGACCTCCCTCGGTTGGAATGCTTTCATTCCAACCTCAATGAGAAGGGAGGGAGGGAGATTCTTGCATAGCCCCATACAAAAACTGTGAGGCGAACTGCGCATTCCTCGAACTCACATATTCGATGACTACGGTTCACAATCGGGGGAGGGAGAAATTCAGTGCTAGGGATCTTAGGCCCGGACATCAAGTTTCAGACTAAACCCGCGGAAAGATCGTGCAGGTGCGAAACGACGAAAATCAGTTCAGATTCTCCATCCTTCAGTTTTCCCAAGACGACATTCGAGACTACCCAGCCCACGTTCCTCCCGCAAATTTCAAGTTGATTATTACCCATCATCGGAATTCTCGCATCGACTCGCAAACTCCGACCCACAGGGCGAGGAAGGATGACTGCATTCTAATATTCATGGGACACTGAATTCCGACTCCATTGGGGCGACCTTCTTCCTCGATTTGATATTCGTCGAGCATTGCAGTTAATCGAATATCGACGGATGGCCACTGTTTGATGCTATTACCGTCTGCGATCGGTCCGCAATCTGGAAACACAAACGACAGAGGAATGTTGTGCGTGAAGATCAATGGGTCGCCGCTGCACAGTATCAGAAACGATCGCGGGGGATCTCGAGTGTCTTATCGTTTCTTCGCGGTGCATGTTATGCGTTGAGAATGAATGGAGCGGTCGTCGATAAATTTACAGGGTGGTCTCGATTACGTCAAACGCCGCGCCGAGCGGCAGCGTTTCCCTGTCGCCGCGCTGCTCTTGCGGTGGCGTATTCCAAGGCGTGGACTAAACACAGTCTGTTGTTGTGGTGGGAACGTGCGCATGAGAAAGACAGATGGAAAGATAGTGAGCGATCGAGGGCAGCCCGGCACTTCACTGATGAAAAATTGCCTCCACTAGGACAAGGCGCGATCGCAAGCCCATGTGATGTTGATATAAGTTTAATTCTGCGTACGGAGGGCCTCGTATTGAGGAAGAAAAATTCAAATCATAGATGAGGCGGCAGCACGCGGCGCTGTTTCGAACCAATTTGTAGCTGCTTCTTCTTGTCGTTGTTCCTTTTTCGGCCAAATGAAAATTTGCAGGTTCGCTCCGAGGCAAGATGTTATCTTGAAAGGAGAGGAATCAGACACAATTTTAGAGCGCAATCTGGAACATGACAGCACAGGCAAGAATCAAAGACGGATCAGAAAAGAATGTGAAGGAGTCGAATTTCCTCTCTGTTGGCAGCCGCGGGAATCCCAATGAAGGGAGCTCATCTTCTGAGCTGCCCGCGATTGATGGGACACGGGACTTTTGAACTGATTCTGCCGGGGCTCAGGGGGAATTTAATGCGAACTCGGTTTTGATTTGTTGTCTCATTATACAGGTGTATCAAAACGACTTACTTTCAAAATGATTTGGGTATTCTGGAGCAGAGAGAGGCGTCGTCTCGCATTCGGATATGCGCTGTAATCAATGCCCAGTCGATAACTTGCCGACTGACCGCTGGCTGAGTTCAATTGTGGACAGAAACGAACCGCGTTTCTGCCATTTAGTTGCGAACAGTGATATCCCCAAAGATCAGGGAATCCGAATGCCAGGCTAGTTTGATGAGAGTATACTAGAGCGGAGTTCCACTATTCCGTGGGGAGAATTCGCTCCAACCACTGCCTTTGTCCCTGCCATGCCACAGACGGTTCCTTCTCTGGAACTGAAATCCGACGAGAAGGCCGACGTTGGCATGTCCGGAGGCTTCGGTGCTCTCACTCGTAGCTCAGAACGCTTCCCCAATTTTCCGAGAGCAGGGGTTCATCGTCGGGTCGTGGTTTCTGCCAACGGGTTCCTCGTCGAGCATTTGTAAAAATTCAGTCGGTCGCGATTTTTGCGTTTCCCGGCCGGCGCGGCTCGCTCCTGCGGCGCTGCTGGGAAATCAAAGATCGCCGAAAGCGTCTGGGAGTCGCACACTGAAGGTCGGTAGTGGGAACTCCTATTCAAGAGGGTCATTCTGATTTCGAGAGATATTTTTCCTCCCCTCGTATCGTGTAAGCGCGCCCGATTTATATTGAGCTGAACATCAAGTAGAACAAACGACTCGAAAACGAAGAGGGAAATCACAAAAATCAAGGCTGGCTCGGTGTGGTGAATTCAGGCTAGCTCTTGTGAATTTTGTAGCGTGCGCGCACAATTCATGTTTGAGAGGTGTGGGACGGGCGCAAGACCGTGTAAACTGGTACAATTTTTTCTCTTCCCCCTCACATTCCGAATGTTGAAGAACTCTGGGATAATCGCTTCTTCCTCGCTGCTTGTTACTGTGTTCAGACTGCTCCGATTTCCATCGATTCCCCCTGCCCAGAAAACCTCATTCTTAGTCGGGGACGGGAGAGTCGGCATTTATAATTCGGTGTTTCGATCCAGATAAAGAGCAAAAATCTATCTTGAGATCACAGGGCTCCGATTGCAGATTCCTCTATTTTTCCTCAAGAAGGCAACGCCTGCTCTCGCTCGAGTCGAGTGAAGATGCTTGCGATCAGAAATCGTATCTTGCGAGAGTGTCCGGAATATCCGTCGGTGAGCTCGCTCTCCGGATCATCGCAGACCTATTCGAACCCGGCTCCAAACTCCAGAAAAACTCGTACACCGAGACGTGAGACGTGACCCGGAGTTGATGGGTCTCTTATCAACGTCAAACATGGTTTTACTAACTAAGTACACATTGCCGAATTATCCAAAAAATAAATAAACAAACGAGCGAGCAACGAACCATCATATTATTGTACGGATTTTATCGAGACGTCGCGCCGAGTTGTATCTCGATCACGTATTGGACGGCGAAGACGATGATCGTTGCTCTGCTGACTTTCACATTTGCGGGATTCTTGTATTTGAAGCGTTGCGACCGAGCAGATAATCGGATACGCGCTGAAGAGATCCAATGTTTGCAAAATTGTTCAATTAATCTTCGCGGTCATTTTTGTCAAGCTTCATCCCCTCTCTACCTTCCCTGTTTATCATCATCGTCGCCGTGATATCATCACGGTCGTCGCGGCGGACGTCGTCCCGAGCTGATACTTTTTCTTCGTCAAACCGTACGCAAGCCTGCAAGGAGAATACCTCAAGCTTGAAACAGTGACCCACAGATATGCCGCATACTTCGCCTAGTAAGAACATTCGGCAATCTCGAGATACGGCATGCGTTGAGTGAAAGATGATTAGACACATTCTTCTTCCTCGGCTTTCTCTTTTTCTCCCGGCGTCCATAATAATAGCGCATTGTAATCACCGACAGAGCAAACCATTGACAACACAATTTATTGTGATGAGAAATCGGTCGACTTTTGCTCGACCGCGTAAGTGAATTGCGCTTACGCAAGACCGACAATACGCCAATGAGATTGACAATAGTCTTTGTTTGAGGAACACTTTTCCCTTCAGTTTTCTCAGAACGACTTGCCCAAGTCCGTCCGTACGACGCTGTATTCGTCGGAAACTTCATCTTCGTATCGTGCGCAGTGGTCTGCATACAAGTGCTAACAAAACACTACTCGGATCTCCAAGTCGATCGCCAGGCGACAATATCGAGTACTCGCGTTTTCGTATTTCGGTCACCAAACCTGAATATTGCGCTCATTTCCCCTCATGCCGGGGATGAACCACTTCATCAGTTTAGGGTGATTCATTCTATTGGTTTTTTCCAACCCCACGGCCTCAGGCCTTTCATGTAGCTGCTCGCTCGAGAGTTCCCTCATCGATGATCCTGTCGCCGACTTCGGGATCGAAAAAATCTACATCCGTTCTTCATCAGTGAGTAACATCATTCCCTGCGACTCGAATTCCTGGACTCGAATGGCTCGCCACGATCCTTCTCCACCCTAGGATCTGCAGGCTGGAACCCACGAGATGTTCCAGGCTGACAATTCAGGGAGTCTACCTCAAAGGTACGATTATTGGTGAGGAATAGATTTTCGCATTTATCTCTTGAAAATTGATAGGACCAGATAAGTCAGTAATTTTGTGGACAATTCTAGGAATGAGGACCACTGAAGCTGTTTGTAGATACTTCCGCGAGGGCCTATTCAGTTCAGGCTTTGGTGTGCCTCGAATTCAGGAGAACTTGCCCATAGGAAGCCGTAGGCTCCGCAAGAGCCGACCCTGCAAGAAATAGTTGGAAGGGCGTGGTTCAGTATTTCTAGCTTCGCCCCTGAGTGCATGATACTCGATTGGGAGAGAAGTCTCACCTTCCACAGTCCACGGGCTTGTACTCTCTGTTGAGGCAAACTGTGATAGTTGTGAGGATTCCAGCCGGCGGTGAGTCACTCGGGCGGCACGAAAGCATGACTCGAGCCATTCTGCGCTTGCTGAGATAGTTTTCGAACAAATCCCGTCTGACCATCGAGCTCAATGACGATGCTTGTTCAATCCAATCCTTCATTTTATCTGTTTTCGAGGTGCGAATGAAGAGGACTTAGTCCCCGCGATTGAAGATTTCGGGAATCCAGCAGGTTGAAATACTCACGGGACTCTCCGAATACGAGAAAGACAATTTCCGCGAGATACATCAAGAAATACTAACTGTCGAAGTCGATACTCTTAGCGACGTCGAGGCTCTTCTTCAACCACCCAAGGAGAGTTCTGTGTTCCTCACTGGGGAAGTAATTTTCCCGGCTAATCTATGGCCGATTCCCGAATAGCACACATGATGGAAGGCGAAATTCGGACGGAGTCCCTCATCAGCGGAGAACTTACTACATTTGGAGGTATTTCCCGCGGTAGATATACTGATTCGTCATAAATTCCTCGTCGCGGTCGAGGAGCGGAATGTTGAACCTGGTCAGTTTCCCTTTAACGGCCACGTACTCGGGCTTGCTCGAATCTGGAGAGGAACTCGATTGAGTGACGACCCGAAGGCGAGAGATCATCCCTCCTACAACTTACAATTCCTTTCCAAGTCATTAGCCATCATCTCCAGTTCAGGATTGGCGGGCTGAATTTCGTCGAGTTCCTGTTCGTAGTCGGTTATCCCTCGTATTGAGAACCTGGTATTCGAGCAGGAATTATTCGCGCTCGTCCCGGTGTTCGCCTCGGATTTTCCCGAGCCAACGAGGGGCAAAAAAATTGGAACGACCTACTTGAGGCCTTTTCTATTCGCTTCGGGGTCACATCGTGCTCCCTGCTCTGTGCTCCCTTTGAGACAGTACCCCGGAATGTAGAAGAAGCTGAACTTGAAAACAGGCCTGGAAAGAAGACTTCGCATTATTTGCGCCCTTTTTCACTTGCGCGGGAGGATTGACATCTGCTCATGAGAGGGATGCACGACCCACCTTTCGCGCTCGATCTGTTCCATTCGCTTTGACACCAGGAACAGCCCGTCACGGTCCAGCTTCAGGGGCTCGAAGCCTGGTGCAGCAAACTGGTGCAATGACTTCGGAACCGAGCTTAGGTGCTTGTTCCCGGCCTCAGCTTGCTCAATGCGATTTTGCATGAATTTGAAAAAATCTTCCGACACTGTAACCCATTGATCTTCCCACGCAACCTGGAGACGTTTTGAGGAGCTCAGGAGCTGTCTGAACAGGTCGGGACTCAGGAACTTGTACTTGTTCGTTTTCGAGTCGAAAATTTCGTAGTAAGCTCGAGCTATCTCGTAGTCGATCATTACGAAGATGTCCCGAAGAGTAATATCGTCGTATAAGTCATTTCCACATTTGACGTTCAGATCGTCCTCCATGTACGGTAGAATATCATTCCAAACGCCCATCCTCGAATCCGCAGCTTCTACGAAATCACCACTGGCGGTACTGTACATGATGTATCCCTCTCTACCCGGTTGGGTGCGGAAATAGCGTGATTCGACCAGATCGACGCCATCTTCCAGGATTAGGTCGCTTATATAAGTCAGTTGACCGACGGTTTCTGGGGTGAACCGGAGACGCGGCCCCTGCTCCAGGAAAATTTCACAATCTCCAAATATCGCGAGGAGCTCCTTCTCGATCTCGTCCACTGTCATATCTCTTCCCTGTTTATCTGACGATTTCCTTATTTTATGAGTCGGTCTCTTGACAAACTCCGCCTTCAAACGTTCCAGATTCACTCGAGCCAGAGTTCCATTTGCTCTGCGGAGTCGAAACGCGGGGTTCTCCTTCTTTATCACTACGGGCTGAACTCCAAGTGAGCCACCCCTTAGCAGAACTCCTGATTCCGGGGTCTTCGAAAGATCGGGCGACCACACTGCCGCAGCGAGGAGGACCGTGTAACCAAACAATTCCAGTGGCCCGACATCTGAAGGTCCGCGTCCGCGGAGTTTGAATCGGCCCAGCTCCACCAGGAACTGGAATAAAACGCTGCCAAAAATCGCACGGAATAAAAGTGTTCCGAAGTCCATTGCTCTATCTCTAAGTGGGTTCTTCGATTTCGTCGTTGTTATGCCATCGAGAGGATCGCCAGAAGACTCGCACAGGGAAGTCTTGTGCCTTGCATGTGATGTGATCGCAGCGATTCTCGTCGGATGATCGGGATGAGGATGCCTTACAATCACGACTGGCATGAATCGATACGAAATGCTGACACGAAAAATTAAATGACCGAGGAGTCCAGGCTGATCCAAAGGATTGGCTCGACCCTTGCTAGAAGAAGTCCCGGTTGGTCCGTTTCGTTGATAGGAGTCGACGAGCGGAAAAAGCGGCAGGGGCTCTAGTACCGAGGGTCATGGTGACACTGTGGACTGCGTCATATCGAGGACCCCTATCTTTGGTCGTCGACGAACTCCAGGATATTCGAGTGCTCCGCGCGTCTAGCGAACAATAGTCCCCGAGCAACCAAAAAAGCTGCTCTCGTTGATATCCTGTCCGTGAAAATGACGGAGTTCAATTATCGGAAGCGCACGATCTTTTCCCTTTACACCTCGTCTCGAGAGCGAATGTTGACGGTGTCCGTGAAGTGGCATCTTATTATCTCAAAAGCGGCCAACAGACCGACCGGCTAGTCAGTCAGGAAGTCGGTCGGTCAGTCAGTGGGCTCGACAAGCAGACGAGCGAGATGATCGTCGCCGAGAGAAGCGAGTCAAGCTCGCAAAGTACGGCGCGACTTGAGCGTCTTTTTCCTGTCCGGGAAGAATCTTTTCTTTATCGACATCGATCCATAAAAACGATCCGCCCCTTGCTGGCTCTGATCTCCGTGATGAATTAGCCGAGGCCCCTCAGCCCCGAGTGATGCGCCACGAGAAATGAACACTTACGCCGAAAGTGATACCTAAACTTCTGATGCGATCATTCATTCAGCGACTTATCTCGGCTTGACAAATCATCAATACAGTGGGCAAACGTCTCCTTGCTGTTTATTGTCATCCTCTCAGAAGAAGTACTTCGGTTCCGCTCCTTCCAAGTACAGAATGGGTACGAAGCCGGAGTTTTCCAGGCGCGCTGTGCATTCCGGGTCTGTTCTCGGATCAAACGGATTCCCGATTATTCCCGCTTCCATTCGTCCTCATACATTTTGGGGGAGACGGTCATTATTGTTTTAATAGGTAATTATATTTATTGTGGAGCGGCAGAAATGACGAGCCCCCAAGCATATGAAAGCTCACCAGGTCGGTCTCGTAGCAAGTCATTAGCGGGGCAGAATCCGCCGGAGGAATTGTCGCCAACCTTCGAGGAAAGCCTAGAGCTCGACATTATTAATGAGGCCGCCTCAATAAGTTCACGAAAGCGTCGGCACGGCGTTTTCTTCTTCGTCTTCCTGATTCACTACCTGACTCCGAGTCCCTTCGGATCGGTCGGCGAGCGGCCTCACTTGGCACAACGATACCCAGGGGACGAGAGGGCCGGATGGACATTGATTCCCCGTCGCACCGGCTACGGCACTTGTTGCCCTGCTCCGAAGAGATAGATGCTGCTGAAATTGGTCTGCGAGTCTTCCCGTGGGCTCGTCGCGCCGCGCTGTTCAATGAGCTAATGAGAAGACTGACGGGGCACCCCGAAGCCACGACGACGCGACGGCTCTGTAACACACACTCTTTCGCGGCGACTGACAATGCTCTATTTCAGTTCCATTTTCGAGCCGACTCCGTTTACTGAAGCGATGTTGATTATCGCTGTGATTGAGAGGAACACGAGCCGTACGCGGCTCAGAAGAGTCAGACGAATTTTCACGCGAGCTGCCTTGGTGCTCCGCGTGGTTTTGCCTCGTTTCTGTGTAATAATTCCCTGAACCGGATCGGCGAAGCGTCCGAGCAATCATTCTTCATCCAACCATCTTCCTGGCAGTGATAAAAGGACTTAGACTCCCGTTCAGGAGATTCACAATCTTGGGATTTCCCAGCACCACCAGCACGGGAAAGCGCGATCATTCCCGAGGAGAGCTTCGCGACGGGTCGGCGTCGATTCGGCTGCACCTCAAGCTGCGAGCCATACATGAGCCTATTTCGTGACCTTCCCAATCGAGGTCGATGCAAATCATATGAAGCATTGATGCAGATTGTTGTAAATCTACGGGGAATAACGTGAGGTACCACGCGCTACGAGGTACCAAAGGTGTGCTGTGGTCCTGCCTATGACAATACCAACAATCGGATTAAGAGACCAACCCGCGATCGAAGCAGTCCCGGGCATGTGATGATGAAAGTGTTATGGTCAAGTGGATATTTGCTCTGTCGTCTCGACAATAACACAAATCATCGTCTGAGCTGACCACGGCCAACGTCTTCACGGTGTGACAATCATCGGAAAGAGGTTCGTGATTGCTCGTCTTTGTCCAGCAAAGGGATACATCGGACAGATGAAGATTATCCTATTATTGTATCTCGGGTATCCCCGGCAGGCTCTCATGGTTACAATCGACGAACGCGATTCCCGCTGTAGCGAGCCCCCATTCGGATTGAAATTTTCTGCAACACCCTCGAGCCGAGCAAGGAACTTCTCGGGGCGATAAGATGGGACGAGTGGAACAGTACTGTCCAGGGCTATTATGTACATGCTCAGATCGTTCGACTGGCGCGGCGAGGCGTTATCGGCTCCAGGAGTTGTCTTACGGCACGTCAGAGGATCCTATGCGTGGATCCACCTCCGTAGTTCCGGGAGCCTCAGTCTTCTGGGCTCCGTCCGGATCCGGGGTGGGGGTAGGGGGAGCTAGACGGTCATCGGGAGTAAAAAGGGACAATCAACACTATGATATGTAGGTACTTCATTGTATCGGTCCTCGGAGGTATCTGCAGCGGGAATGGCACATGGATCGGCTCCGAATACCTCATCGTACCAGCTCGGCGTTGCCGCAGGGGCAGATCAGAAGAATAGGAGGGAAGCGTCGCAGGATCGGGGTCAGATCTCAAATCAGTCGCTGATTCGCTTCCCTAGCCAACAATCTCATTCAGAGTTTGACACCGTGAATACCAAGATTGAACTGGAAGGATCGAATGGAACCTCCAGTTCAATCTAGGACCTCTACTCGAGCGACCTACACACTCGTGGATCGAAGCTGGACTCATTGAGAGGACCCCCGTCTGAGACTCTTCGGACGTGGGCAGTACTAATGTAACAGCATCAGGGGCACGGAACGGAAAACTTCATTCGACAGGGAACCTCTATGCACTTGACCCCGGTGCCGATGCGGGACTTCGAGCAGCAGCTGAGAGATTGCGCAGGGAGGTCAAAAGCATGGCGTCTTTCCATATTCCGGCGCCGATGAGGAGATGGTCGCGCCGTCACCCTCCTCAACAGCGAGTGTGATGGGTGCCTTGGGTATGACCGCTATTCGCGTCCATACGGATTAAGCGGCATTATAATTTTTTTTGCGCTAATTGTCATCATCTGGACTGTCGTTATTGTCCCGAAGAGAGTCAAGCTCTCGTTCTCACCCGGCAGGGGACTCGCTCAGAACTTCAACGAGACACTTTCATCAGAGTAAATGAGTTTCCAGACAGCTATCGTCGTTTGGAAGGGCGGTGCGAGCGATTGAGCATGAGAATTCCAGAAATGCCGAGTTAGATAATTGTGCACACCGTCGGAATTTCTTCTCGTGTTTGAACTCCTGCGGGTGGAAATTGTGGCGCCGTATATCGCGACAGCGACTTCTTCGCTTCCGCTCGCAGCTCCTACAGTTTGATGTGACTCCACTCATGCCTCTGTCTGGCGCTCGTCTGTCTGTTCGGATGGGAGTTTGAGAGTTTCCTTCAGGGTTTCCGAAAGAGCGCACTCTATGTCGCTAGTCAACGAGCTGGATCCATGCTCGCAGACAAATACATGCAGTGCGAACCATGGAAAAAAAGAACGATTGCGTGACTTCTGAGGATTTCAGAATAACCGTGTGAGGCAGGCAAGGGAACAACAGCGATGGCGTCAAAAGAACATTCTGAGAAAGAACATGTCAGCAGTAACAACGGCGGAGAATGAAGTTAGCGACCGAATAGAACAATCCAAGATTCCGGACAAGAGATGCATGCGGGACGTGATGGCCTGTCGTCGCGGCGCGGTGCGCGTATCTGTGTCATACCGAAGTCGTGATCACAAATCAATGGCGTGATCATCAACGTTTCAATCATCACCACCAAGTAGAAGGATGTCTCCATCGATCCGGTCTGCGGAACTCCGGGGTGCGAATCGTGGAAAGAAGCGACGAATTCTTTAGTATCCTATCTCTCTCCATCTGCGCCCACCACGCCGCGGTGCGGACAACGCTTCCTATCCTCGACCACTGCTGTGCAAGCTCCAGGAAGAAAGCCTGAGGTATACAATTCTTCCCTCCAAGGAGCAGTATTTCGCTCAAGAAAAAAGGAAGCACTTAATCCGTGGACAACTATCGATGAGATATCATTCATTGAATTGAGATCTTAGGCCTCCAAATGTCATGAGAGAGGGACGCCTGGAAATCGCGTTAGGCTCGGAGGCTTGATTCTCCGGCACACTCCTTGGATCGAGATTCATTTCGTGGCTCGTCGACACGTAGATTTCGGGATGAAGATTTCGGGGATTCAAGACTCTGAGTCGGAAACTTCCATCGAGCACGATTCCGAAGGGAACATCGGGGAACCTCATCTCGGATATCCTCGAGGAATGCGTTTCCACGAATTTTCACGAAAATCACGCATGCGGGAAGACGACTCACCGCGCCCCCTTATCGTTTCTCGGGAGGAATCGAGGAATCCGGCCACTCTTGAATGCGCTCGTAATCATGGTCCTGTCATTCTTATCAAGACCTCGTTCATTTGGTGAAAACCAGCAGAATTCCGAGCGCAACGCTTTCAGCAGCGACGGATATCGTCAAAGAGTCGGCTGTGAACTCAATCGCGGTGATTTGGATAGACCTCTCGAACATTGCAATCGGACTCGGTATTCTAGGGTAGGTCAATCTCCTCATGCCGCTAACATACTGATGCTCAACCTGGACGAGTGA